GGACAAACAGCTGATAACAATGCTGGACGCACATTGCCTCATACCAAACCCACCTGACCAAATATAAAGCAATCTTGGAGATACCGTTACACTGTTTTGTTTTCATGAACAATAGTCGGGTACGCACCTACAAATATGCAACATAACAATACAAATGCCTTGTTTCAATGACGTTGCAAGTATGTGGGTGTGTTAAAGCGGTTCGGTGGCCCGAAATAAATTTCAACTTTCGACAATGGGACAGACAGTAGCGCGGCAAGCTGTGATATGCTAATTGCTAGCATATTTGTGAGCGCATGACTAAACTTCAATCAACGCGTACAGAAGCTGTCAGCACCCATTAAAAGCCAGTCGAACACACACAAGCACACCAACAATTTGACGTTTACAATCGGACTGAGTTTATGTGGTGGTGTGTGTCTGCATTTCAAGTATTCAAAACAAAAGCACGCCATTTGGTTGTTACTTCTGACGTGCGCTTAAAACTATGATTCGTGTGTGTGCCGAATGTGTGCGACTCTTTGCTGCAAGAGAGGTGATTTTTTTCGTGCAACAATTTCTTTGATTCGCAGTGTTAAAAGAATTTTTTCCATTAAGTTTTTGGTTTTGTTTTTAAGGTTGTAGTAAACAGTTTGGCTTGATTTTTAACGCACGTTTCTGTTTCAGTTAACTCTGTCCTTTGTGACTGCTCAGTTAGGCAAGCGTCGAAACGTTGTGTGAAAAAGTTTCATTTTAGCAAGGGTTACTTTGAGGATTGCAGCACGAGATCAGAATCATAAAGCGCTCGCTTAGGTCATGGATGCCATAATGCCACAACAGTTTGACACGGATGCCTATGCTTGTGAATTGGCCCAAATGTTGGGCTAAAGTCTATGGCACAAGCTGGATTCAGTGCAAGAGGTCCGCTTGACTTACAAAAGTAGAGTAGAGTTAGCATATACCTGTATATATTTCCCGGTGATTACCCAAACTAAAGCAATTAAACAATAAAATAAATGAATTACTTTTAAAAGTCTGATTGTGTACAATAATCGCTATAATATGTTCTGAACATATCTCAGTCACTTTTAATCATATCACTTATGGGATGAATTTCACTCATTACTGTCTGAGAACACACACTCACTACGCCGGCTGGGTCAAGGTCATAAACCAAGTTCGTTTCTTCATGTACATATGTACGCCTTGTGCGCCCTAACTGCCACAATCCACTTTATTCCATTTTTCCACTCTGCCCTTGCACTTCTTTCAGCGTGTAAGCATACTTTGTTCTTATTGCTGACGTTTTGTGGTTTGTTTGACATTTGCCTTTTCAACTTAAATAAGTGCACTTTCGTGTCGCCATGAATACATTCATGTACCTCTTACACACCTACTTACACATGGTATGCGACATGAAAAGTACCCAACAAACCATTTTGGTTAATGCCGATAAACTCAAATGAAGAGTCTACATCTTCTGCATATCAAACATTACAATGTTAAAATCCAAGCTATTTTTAGGGGTTGTCGTCAGAAAAATACATCATACTTATTCAACATCGATCAACTTTTGTGGAAAAATTGTTTTTTTTTTTTTATAAAAAAAATGTCATAATTTTTTTTAAATGTTTTGTGGTGTTTATTAGTGTGTCGGTGTTGTCTTTAGCCTACACACCCCCTCTGTGTCTCGTTTATTTGCTACTTTATACTTACTTAGTTGCCTTTTTATTTCAGTTTTTTTTTTTTTTTACTGCTTTCTCTCTTGCAATTTGCCCTACAAAAGTATGCCACCGCTCGCATGTACTCTCCTTGTATGTGCGAAGCATAACATAAGTGCGAATAATTGTCAAACTTAAGTAGTTTTGAACTTTGACATGAAGCCTGACTTGAGTGGTGCTTTGACTGCTTTTGACATTGCACACTCAAACTTAACATGCTTGAGCCTAGCCACGAAGCGCTTCTCCATATACACATACAAATGTGTATGTATTAATTGTCATAAGTTTGGTCAGCTGCAAAAAAGCTATTTCTCCAATTTATCCGCTTAAAACGCTTCGTTTATTAGCTCTGTGAGTTTGCCATCGGCGCAAGTTGTCAGCATATTCTCAGCTGCTTTTGTAGGCAAAGTGACAGTAACCATGACAGCAAGTGTATTATTATAGTATTATTTTCACAGTGGAGATGCCTCGGAGTTCTTCTATTAAAATAATTTTCCTTTTTTACGAGTGAAAATATTCGTTTTTTGAAAGCTTTCGCATTAATCGATATGTAAATTCAGCGAAAAAATCTAGTTTGGTTTATTTAAATAATAAAACTTAAGCAAAAGTAACACCAACAACAATATCAGCCTTGAAATCCCATGCCGAATCACTCTTGCGAACAGGCGCTACTTCGGACTGAGTAAGCAATTCAGAAGTCAAGTCGAATAAAAACCAAATTCTATAAGTCACTCATTATTCCCGTTCTGCTATTTGGTGCAGAGGCATTGACAATGACACCATCTGATGACTCGGCCTTAGGAGTGTTCGAGAGAAAGGTTTTGCGGAAGATTTATGGTCCGCTACGCTGGCTAGGTCATGTTGTCCGGATGAAAGAGCACACTCCAGCTCTGAAAGTATTCGACGCAGTACCCGCCGGTTCAAGCAGAGGAAGACTAAGACTCCAACTCCGTTGGAGAGGTCAGGTGAAAAAGGACCTTGCTGCACTTGATATCTCGAGTTGGCGCTAAATTGGGAAAGAGGGAAAACGACTGACCCGCTGTTGTTGACACGGCTATAACCGCGTAAACGGTGTCTACGCCATAAAAGAAGAATAACAAAGGCGAAATGGAAATTTTAGCTCTCGAGATAGTATCGTTTACCATTAAGATTGCACAGTGTACTTGAGCTTAACCTCACGTTACGTATAGACCCAGTAAATGGCAGAAACCATTCTACTATCATCGCTTCGCTTTCCATTGCAACGTCCATATATATCTGACACTTAAAAGCCCAAAAGCAAGCAAATCAAGTCCCCGACGTATTGGGATTGACCGCTAAAGCGCCGTGGACAAGCAAGCCTACACCTAAATGGCAAATAGTTCTAATTAAATATATGCTATACATATGTGTATATGTTTAGCGATATATGTATATATGTGCATTTGCATTTCATGAGAGTTTATATGTGCATACATATATATGATTTCTTGATGCTTGATGTCTATTCATGCTCAGCAAATGCAATCACCAAATATCGTATAAACCGACGTTACCAGAGATAAGATTAGGCGTCTAGCTGGAAGTGCTGTTGTATCTGTGCTCATGACGGGCAAAGCGCATGCGATCAGATAATGGATACAGCTGGTAGCTGAGTCCGCAATTTATTGCCGACCCTTATAATACTAAACTTATACCAGTGTAAGGCGGGGACTGCGAAATTCGACCTGTTATTATCAATGTGGTAACGCAAGTTGCCGTTAGCCGTATTGATTGCTTTCATTTGCAACAAATTGCCTCTAAGTATGTGTAAAAATGTCAGCAGACTAGGACATTGTCAATCAATATGTTTGATGACTTCAAAGGACATCATATGTTTTTGATGACAATAGACTACCGGCATGCAGGCGCTGATGCTGTCGGCTACATAGATTACTTGTCATTCATGTCAGTTACGCTTGCGAACGCTTCGAGCTGCGGCTGCTGCAAATCTCGTTCCTTAGCTGACAAGTGTCAAAATATGTAAACTAACAACTGTCACAACATGACAAATGATAAACGCCACAACTACAAATACGCACAGATTTGTACTCGCCCACCCAATTCTGCACACACTAACACTAATACGAGAACTCATGAGGCCCCAGCACAGTTTAATAGCTTTGAAACTCCCTCCACATGGCACAAAGCGCCGCTCGTCATGTGATTTATAACTTCTGCGCTATGTCACTGTGACGGTTTGGCTATTTGACTGATAATTAAATTCCCTACTCCTTGGCTATCAGTCGCGCCGCGGGCGTATGAAACCAGTCAGTGGTTCACTTCGAAGTATCAGCTAATTTATTTGCAAGTTTTTTTATGTGTGTACACTATCTGTACATAACTGTGTTTATCTGGGACTGAGCGTATGGTGAATAGAACATATGTATCCAGATTAAGCTGACATATTTCACTTAGATAAATACAATAAATGTCTGTTGTTGACAGTTAGATTAACAGTAAATATTTGCTATTCGCTGAAGTGTCTCGTTTGCAAGGGCTTTCCGCCACTGCGAGGAAATCGTGCGCAAAAGAGATATTTCGCTTCAGATTACAAAAAAATAATACTATATATTAGAATTAGTAAGCAATTAACTGCCAATAAATTTCGTTCGCAAAGTGTTAGCTGCAATTTAAAATATTTACTACGAAATTGAATAATTGAAATTTATTCAAAGGTACAAGCAAATAAAAATTACAACAAGCGAAAATAATGAAGATAAATAATACAGAAAACCATTGATAATTGATTAATTCAAACCAATTTAAAATATTATTAGGATACAAGTAATAATTATTCAATTGAAAAAATCTGAAAGTTAAAATAAATTTTTCCCTTATTGTTATGTTTAAAATTTCACTAGAAATAAATAAAACTAAATGTTTATACACTAACGTTTTTCCATAATGTCAGACCACAAAAACATATAGCTGCCATACAAACTAAACGATCAAAATCAAGTCTTGCATGGAAAACTCATTTTGCTAGTTGTATTCACCAAATTTCAATAATCAAAGGCTATAATACTATCTCCGAAGAAATTGTTTAAATCAAACCACTATAGCAAATAGCTGTCATTTAAGAAGGCCGATCAAAATCAAGGCGAAGATCCTTTTATACTTTTTTGCTATAAAAAATGCTTCTGTGAAGAGCGCTTCGGTGTTGCCAAAGTAACACTTTTTTCTTGTTTTGCATTTATTTTATTATGCAATTAGAAGTGTTTTAGAAACTCATTTTTTTTATTTTTAATTGAAACTCGATCTCTCTTTTTCTTATTTCAGGCGAAGATCGAATTTTATACGCTTTCTTCTGTGATCACGCCTCAGTACTCCTGTTTTGTAGACTGTCAATGCAACTCTGTGCATAAATATCAGTTGCTTTTTTCCGAATAGCCACGTTTAAACGAATAACAAACAACAACAACAACAGCCATAACTTCAATCGGTAAGTCGGAACGAACGAGAAGCTATCTCTATATAGCAGCAATATCCTGCGCCCAACACACGCACAATGAAAAACGACGTCGTACGATGGAGTTCAGTGGTAAATGCACAGAGCGCCCGTGAGAGCACGCCAAACAAAAGCAAACCTTTTCCATCACTAAACGCCACGCGTGCGCATCCAAGCGCCGTGACTGCGCATGCGACGTCCAATAGTGGGCACCTTCAACTCCAAAAGCAACAGCAATATTGTGATACTAATGCAAGTTTTCTTAATGCAACAAAACCAATAACAACAATAACAACAAGTAGTTATTTAATAATTCCACGACAGCATAGCAAACGTAAATCCGAACTCGCTTCGTCATCCAACACACTGAGTAGACATTTTCAATCACAACAACAGCAAATAGAAAGAAACAGTCCACATCACCGCCGGCAGCACGAAGTGAAAGCGCGGACATTTGCTGCATTGCATTTAAATAGGATTTTATTAAATTGTGTGCAATTGAATGTGTTTTTAGTGTTTTTGTTGTGTACTTTGAATTTCGGTTTCGTGATTGTGCCGAGCGTCAGTGCCGCCATCGTAAGCAACACGAGTGTGTTGCTTGTGGGTGGTGCGGTGAATGCGCTCGATGACGGTGCGACATACCTGCTGGACTACGCGGAGGAAGGAGACAGCAAGGGCGCGGCGGGGCATTATACCCACACATGGGCGGTGCATATACCAAGCGGTGATGACGGCGTGGCTGATCAAGTGGCCCGGGATCACGGTTTCGTCAATATGGGCAAGGTGAGTGAGCACGTTCAATTGTTTGTGAGAAAATTAGTGCCCATTTGATTGTGGCGCTATTATTTTCCTGGTACTTTTGATATTCATCCGTTCTCCTTTACTGCATTACTTTGTAGATTTCCTTTTCAGTTTCCCAATGCATCAATTTAATGTAATGTAATGTCATTTTGAATTCTAAATAGTACTCCGCTCAATAATTCAAAAAGTCTGCTGCAAAAAAACTGCGTAGCAAAATCGTGAACTATTCCGACCTATATGAATGGGTGTAATACACCGAAGTCATGCTTCTAGGTAAGCAGTTACAGTCGCAAGGCTCCTGAGTACTCGGCGCGCCCCCTGGTAACGTGAGCAAACCTTTTGTAAGATGCGGTAGCCAACTCTAAAATATTCTGCCGGTAGTCATAAATAACCACATGCCTTAAGCATATTTTAAGTAAAGTTTTCGTCTCTGCTTATGAAGTTTTGCTGATTTGAAACAATTCCTATATTTGCTTCTATATATCAAATGAAGGAATCGTCTAACTTTTAAGTGAAAACTGGGTTTCTTTTCAGTTATTTTATTATTGTCTTTTCTTACTTGTTCATGCAAAGGTTGCTTGATAACAATTCATACCGCTTCCATATAACGACATTTCTCACAAATGCTTCTTCTTACAAACCACATATGTATATGGAGAGCATTTACAGCAAATAGTAACGATTAGTTCATCCTCGACTTAACTTCTGTTAAGTTGTTCATTGCTTAGGTTTTACCATTATTCATTACCATCCCTCCCAAAAAGTAATAAAAACAAACCTCCAAAGGATGCCGAGCAAATCCTCTCTCGTTCCATAAGTAAGCCATGACAATTAGCACCGCAAATCCATTGCCTCCCAACGATTCAAGCGCCTAGGGAATGACCACAAATTCGATTTCCAAAGCACACAAGTGTTGATGCCGAGCCCTGCATTTGTCGGCAGAAGTGTGACACGGAAGCGTTCATATACTTTTCAGATTATTCTCATATACACACTTGCCATTGTCATGGACGCATATATCGTTTACTCTGCTCCTACTCCTGCGCTATAAATGCACTTTATTCTCCAATTTCATCCGCATACTCAGCCGCATAAAAATTATGCAAATTCCATCAAAAATTTATATTTTCTATTATATCAAGTATAAGCCTTGTAAGCCTTCAACGCTCGTTGCTCGCATAAATTACGCAAGGATTGCAGCCGTCAGAATGCGACTTCGACTGGCAAGCCAGCCAACCGACTCACCGACCCACCGTCCAACTTGACAACAGAACAGCCAGTCAAGCAGCAAGCTGCAGTCGAGTGTAAGAAAATGTCTGCCTGTCTTTTTTTACCACTTTCACTTCATCGCTAACTACGGTGCTAGCTTCTTCATCCGCTTCTCCTGCTGCTTCTGCTTCTTCTTCATTTTCTGTGCTATTCTTGCACTTTATTTCTTGACACAACTAACTTTTTTGCCGTCGGACAAATTTCTATGTAGTAAACTTTGCCGCCTAACAAGATTATGCTGGCTCGATGACTCAACACACACATACCTACACACTTAGGAAGCATATCCGTAATACACACTACAAGCGAGTTTACACAGAGTATCATGAGCGCTGAGCAGAGCATTTCTTTTGTATGTTTTGTATTTGTGCGTTCACATTTTTCCACTCTTCACTTCATCTTTGCGGCACGAGCTATCGCCAAACCATCCGAAAGCAGACTTCTGCACAGGTTTCGCAAATAAAAAGTATGGATATCAAAAATTTCCTAAGTTAGTCAAATTTGTGTATGCTCATCCCCGAGCTCGACTAGAGATCTCAGTAAGTTGGCAAGCTGATGGGGTAGTTTAACTGTCGAAAATGTGCTGCTAACGCACACTAACACACGTGCGCAGACCCAATTTGCTTGACTGCACACACGGTGCAAAATGGTGACAGTTGCAATTGTTGCCAAGTAAGCGTTTGCCGAAGGCAAGATATCCTACATATATGTTTAATCTAGTTATGGCCTTAAAACACACCCTGTCAAAATAAATATTTACATATAATGCAGATTGGTCTCAGTTTTTCGTTCTGCTTTCAAAGCGCTGTGCAAATGCAGTACCATTTCCACCAAACTGTACTGGACTGGACTTATGTCCTTTCTAGTCTCACCTTAATCACATGTCCATGCTTTATCTGTTCTTTTTCTTCGTCTACAAATCCCATCCATTACTAACTTGCTAATGATGGGAGATTAAAGTGACCAGGATTTTTAACCTTTCTGTTAATCCCAATTTTCTAGTTCGAAACATTTAATTGCCTGTGGCACAAGCCAAGCCATGCAAGCCTTTCCAAAAGGTTTCAATGCCATATTGTTTGTTGTGCAATTACATTTGTGTACATATATATCCATGTACTCGTATTATAAGTAAATCGAATTTCTCGTGCGTCTTAAATGGCTGTCAAATTGAGCGCAACTTTGATACAACCACAGATTTGGTTTATAGGCTCACACACAGGCAACAACCACAAGATTCATACACGCCACACAAAAAGCACGTCCTCAACTCTCGCCGCTCTTGCGATTTGCGGTTTGATGGAATGAAAGTAGAGTTGCATTCAAGCTAAAGTTTAAATGACATAAGTAAACGAGACGACCGTGGGCCACCCACTTGGCAGTTGAAGTGGAAACAATGTTGCCTTTACACACCGTTACGGCAACAGCTCATTGGCGCAGGACAATTGAGAACGGCAATGAATTTGTAGTTAAGGCAGAAATATTTCTTTTTGGCATTTCGTTTTCTTTTTGCTTTGATTGCACCAGACGCTCGAGAAAAACGTCGTAAAAACTTTTGGCGACTCTACATTGTCACCTGCAGCAGGCATTGCTGTGGTTGTTGCTGCCCCAGGTGCTGCTGCTTCCCCTGTCCGTTACTTCTTACTTCTTACACTTTGCATTGAGACTATCATTTAAAGCACTCCCGACTGAGGGACTTACTAGGCTGGCTAAGTGACAGAGCAAATAAATTTTAGAAAATCCTTCCCACTGGTCTTGGGACAACCGATACCTACCACCACCTACCCGTGTAGATGCTCGCTCGGCGGAGGAGGCGGTCAGCTGAAGGACGTGTGACTGCAATCAAATCGGCAAGCCAAATGCGAGGGCACAGTTCATTTGCGCTTCATTGAAAGTTTGTGTCGTTTTGTGTCGTTGAGGCGGACGCCCGGGCAGATGGAAGTAAGGAGAGCACAAAGTAATGGCGGCGAAAAGTTGCTGGTTGAATTCAAAAAAGGCAAGCCGGCTTACAAAGTTGGCAGCCATTTTATTTTCTTTCTGTTTCAACTTATATTTTTTGTTCTCTTTTGCTTTGCCAAAAGTTATAATTTGCTCGTTATGCCCCCATTCGTTTGTCTACTCCTTATCAGTGTCCTCTTTTGTCAGGTAAATAAAATTAGTTCACCTTTTTAATTGGACTTTCCTTAAATTCAAATTAACAGTTTTCTAGCGTAATAAAGTAAAACTTAACAGTGGTTTGAGGTATGAGCAAGTGTAATTAAGTGTGCGTGCATTTTCCAGGTGCGATTGAAGCTCTTTGACACCAATAAAGTATGAGGGTCCGGTGTAAAGTTGGGGCTAATAAGTAGCTTAAGACATTTGCCATAATCGTCTCTGTGAGACTGAAGTTCTGGATACCACGACGTGCTCGTTTAACGCAAGTGGATGAATCTCGTCACGAAGTTAATCTTCAACAATTAAACCGACAATTTGCTGAAGTAAAAATAAATCGATTTTTCAACTGAAATTAAAAATAAGAGAATGAACTTTTTGGAAAATTATGTGAATATTTAGAAGTTTAGTGCTCTCTTTCGCATGGGATTACTTAGCACAAGTCTTTTGGAAATAAATGAGTGTTTATTGTACAAATTAATATAATTTAAATTTTTTATGTCAAACTCATTTTCCTATTTTTACTAACATCAGATGTAGAAGTTGTTCTTGCCATTCCCGACATTGCTGTCACTTTATTTGTTAGAAGTTTTTAATAAATTAATTTTTGTCTATAAATTAGTTTATTAGTTCATTAAAAAAAAAAATCAAGAAAGAGCAAAATTATGACAATTAAAAAATGCCATTTTAAAGAGTATAAAACCGATGGTCTTATCCTACTATTGACCAATATCGATGAGTATGACTGTAAGATATATTATATATTTCGAAGTATAGTTTTTTGTTCAGTTGTATTGCATTTCTCTCTTTCTCTAATATAATAACTTTTAGATCTTTAGCGTCTGCTTTTGTGTTTGCTTCATTAGAAGGCAGTGAGTTGCCCAAGTGCGGTGCGACGAAATATTTGTATTATTTTGCAAACTGTACCCAAGTTTCTATTTACTTTAAAACCCCAAATTTGCAAATAAAATTAGTCTTTAAAGTTTTTACTCAATCTACTTTTCTTGCTGTTCGATAGTCGTGGCCTCAACAAAATCTATGGACATTTAATACAATCAATTAATGTAGAAAATAAGTTTGGCGATCTTGAACGTTGAAATGAAAGGAAAAATATTTGGTGAAGCCAATGAAATGCGCAATAAACTTTGACTCAGCTCTCAATTGCAGTCTGGGAACAGACAAAAACGCAAATGGCTCGAGTGGCGAGTGGTTACCGTTAAAATTCAATGAAAACAACTTTCTCGTTGCAAAAAGATTTGTAAGTTAAAAGGTGCCGAGGGAATGCATTATTATAAAGTAAAATAGGATAGGTGATAGCAAACGAAATTAATATTTTGTTGTTTATTTTACTCTCATTTCAAACGCAACATGATTCAATTGCAATTGTAACGAACTATTCGATTCCTCCACAATCCCTCCGACGTCTACCTCACCATAGTTACATTGACTCAGCTCACAATTTGCAATGCAGCATCCCGGCGTTTCTGCTCCCGTCAAAAGTCATGCCGCTTTCAATGCGAGTTCGAGTGATCTAATTAAAAGTTGAAATTTGAGGGTCAATTTTG